GAGGTTCTCCAAAAGACGTTTAAAAGGCAAAACAACTTGCAAGTGGTATATGGACATAGTGGAAACAAAGAAAAGTATGGAGCAATACAGTGGATGTGTTGGTATTAATTAAATTAAGCGGCATTTTTCTTTTTCTTATTTCTTTAATTGAGTTTGCTTAATATTTCCTACTGTTTCTTGCGCTTTGCAAAGCATTTCTTGCGTCTTCTTGCCCTCAAAAGGAATTGTGTGAATGATACATATGTATATAAAGTTTAAAATCCCCATAGAAATATTCTCTGCTGTTGTCCACTAGGGAGCTCTTCAACAACCGATCGACACAAGGTCCTTAGCCTTTTAAAGTGATATAATAAGGCATTGTTGGGTTTCCTACAACTCCATTTGCTGGCTGTTTCTCTAGTCTCTGTCTTTTGACTTGGCATGTGTTTAACTTAGCCTAGATTTTTATTTTATTTTTTTCAGTTTATATACTGCTTTGAGAAACTACAGATTTTAAGACACTCCCAGGAACTGAAAACATTATGCTTGCTTTAGTTGTAGTAGCAGCCCCCTCTTCTTGGTTCTTGCCCACTCAGCCACATGCTACATGCATCTTCCTATTCCTGCTTTAGCCAGTTTACTGGATCTCAGTCTCTCTAATTTGTAGTAGAATTGGGAAGTCAATGGAGGAAGCCTTATGACAAATTCAATAGAACAATGGAGAGAGCCTGCTTATTAGCGGAGTGATTTTGTTATATAACTTTACTAAAAGTTTTCAGAAACTAATACAAACTAATATAGAGTAAGAAAGAAAAAAGAAGAGAGCTAAAAGTACAAGAAGTACAAGAAACAAAAAGTAAAAAAAAAATAGAAAACAGGATACAAAGAAGCGGCTTCCAATCATCTTTACAGCTGTTATAAGAACATTGATCAATTTACCTCTTTATCTAAAGTTACATCTGCTTTCTATAATCTATCGTATCAAATCAACAAAACAATAAATCATTAGTTCAACTTTTTCTGTTTTACACAGAAAGTTCCTAAGTCCATTGAGTAAATAAACAGATGTTGTCTTTCCTCTAATCAAACTAGTCAATATGGCCATCTCAGAAAATTATATCAACTTCATTGTAGTTATTGCCAAATTGTTCCAGTTTTGTACATACAGCTGTGGTTATTATATTAAAAAACAGTTCTATGACTTTTCCACTGCTACAAAACTCGGTATCTTCCTCCTAACAAAGTATGCTAGGATATCCCATGGAACATTTTAATACCTGCCTCTGTATCTGCAAAATTAATAAGGCTTTAATAATATTTTCTATAATATGTTCACCAGAATCCTCTGGAAGTCCCTGGAAAAAAAATCAATTCCAGTAATGCCAGATTATCTAATTCACTTTCTAGCTCTCTTTTAATATCTTCAGTTTTACTCTCCAGAATTTCCACTTGGTCATTAATTTGTTGTAGTGGTCCAGTGATTTGCTGTACAGCAATTTCCATCTTCTCAACTTTTTCTTTCATTTCTTTTTTCATTTTTACAAGTCTTTTATACATTCTTTTTTCAAAAGATGTCCATTTAATATTAAGTGATTCAGATTATTCGCTGCCTGATTTTGCAAACATTTTCTGAAGCAAGTCTGGTGTAATTTGTCTCTGCATGTTGCTTTAGCAATCCCACCCTGGTGGGTCCTATTGCAATATTATAATGTAAAAGTATTTCAAATATAAGGGAAAGAGTAAAAGGCAGGCTTCCCTCTGTTTTTTCCTGTTTTGTCTTTCTGTTCTCTTAATACTTTGTCTCAAATGGCACTCCGCAATTAGTCACCATCATGGTGTGGCTCATATTATCTTCATCCTGTGTTTTATCAAATCCATTAATTGTCTGCACTCCTTAATAGTTAACAAATAATATTCTAGCACAGGTCCATTCTGTTTTCTATTAAATTCCAATTCATTCCAAAGCACTTTTACCAAAAATCAACATTTCAAAAATACTGTTGCTTTTATCACCTTTAAACTTTGTTGTACTCAATCCTTGTTAAGCCTTATGCTAAAAGTTTAAATCCTTCGAAGCTTCCTCCTCCCCTTTCCCCCCTTTTCTAGTCCAGAAAGAATGTTGATTTCACCAAGTGGATTTCTATTATCCTACTGCTGAGAAAACCTCTTTAGCTGTAAATAAATTGCATCTAAAAGGGGTTAAGAAAGTACAGCTTTTGTGAACTTTGTGTCCATAGAGCTTGTGTCCATTATGGCTGTGAGCTTGACTGAATTTTCTCAACCCTCAGCCACTGGACTCACGAGCTAACTGCAAAAACCTCAGTTCCTATGGTCTCCTTGTCCAGAGCAGTTGTCCTGATTGCAAGTGGACAATCTCATATTCTCTTTTTTTTCTGGAGCGACTATGCTGGCCAGAATTTATCATCTAGCTACTGATCTCTGATGCAATACCACCTCCATTCCTTCAGGAACATCTAGTCCACCATAGATCCTTTCCCAGAAGCAGAGATTAAAGTTACTGTTTTGCCAATCTTGTGCCTGCCAGTAGAGCTTTCCTAAGTAATGTCAGTATAAATTTTGACTTTTGTAAAACTGATGTTCTGGCCTGCAACGTAAGTTGTGAAACACTTTACAGATAAAATCACTTGGACTTGTTTTAACTTGGAGCCCAGTTTGATGTGGAACCCTTGGTGTATCTTTAAGTGGATGGCTGCTCATCCTGGCTTGATTACAT